TTCTTTTACTTGTCTATCTTGCAATGATGAGTCACCCAAATTTTTTAGGGTATGTTTCATGGCTAAAAGTCACTTTAGTTTTATCTATTTTTCATTTTTCGTTCATGTAGTTTTAATTTAGTCAGTTGTGCCTTTGTTATTTCATAATTGTAGCAATTCAAGGACAAGTCATGAATTCCGTCAATTTCTTTCACGGCTATACTCTTTTCATAGACATTGTGTTTTTGTTTTTATAATTGTTTTTCCCGAATTTTTTTATCGTTTTTCCCCAATTAATTTTCCCCTTTTAAGTTTTACTTTTCTAGAGTTATTACCCGTATAAAGAATTTAGCATTTTTACGTTTGATACTCATATTTATATATGTATTTTTCATGTTTAATATACTTGGTTCTTTACAAAAAATTTAATAATACACAAAATTCAGGTATTATACACAAAATTTTGGCATATTATTGAATAATAATAATATATATTAAAAAAATTTAAATCTATAAAGTATATATATCGAAACTAGCAAATTAATATATATAAAGTATAAACTAATGCCACTAGAAGGGTCTTTTTTTATAAATTATTTTTAACAAATAGTATAGTTGCGCAGCTTTAAATATAATACACTTAAAAAGTATAGCCGCTCGGCTATACTACGTTTTTTTTATTATGAAAAATAGTATAGTCACGCGGCTCTATTTGTTTTGACATGTGGGCACGAAATCACTAGTTGAGGGCTAGACGGGTTTTTTTTTTTTTATATTTGCAAATGCGGGTTAAGCCAAATCCACGTGTACCTCTGTGAATCTAGAAGGTCAGTTTTAGTTAAGAAATGTTTTGCCCGCCAATGCTAGTTTTTCTTATTTTGGGCTTGATTGGGCCTCTGTACCTACCTTGAGTGACGATCCTTTAAGTTGAGCCCGTTTTCAGGGGAAATTCTGGGGCGGGTCCTGTCACATTTGAACTAATAAATTGGTGAATCAAACCGGGCCGGAAAAGCCGCAAAAATCAATTTTGGCTTGGACCATTTTAGTTTTTGATTTTTGGCATTTCTAATTTCTTTTGGGAGAGAGAATATTTCCGAGAGAGTAGGTAAGCTTTACAGATCAAACTGTCATTTAAAATAGTACTGCAGCAGCCCTATTTTACCAATTCAAACCACAACTTTTAATGGAGAACTTAAAGAATTCAAATATAAATATAAATTATATATTGTTGAATATAGGTACAACACAATTGTTAAGTATAAATTTAATTTGTGTACAAAAGTGAAGCTGATGGAGAAGAATTAGAAGCGGAAGATGAGATGAACTGTGATGAATTGGTGTTGTAACCATTACTTAAAGACTCTGTTTGACCTCTTTCAGAACCAGTATCACCGGACAAGATTGAAAATGATACCGGAGGAGAAAAGTAGCTGGCTACTGGCATCTTTGATGGAAGAATAGGCGGCGCAACTTCTAAGCTAAGAACTTGAATGATTTGTTGTGTCGAAGGCCTGATCTTGTAATCTGGATGAGCACACCACAACCCAACAATCAACAAGCACTCTATTTGTTTCTCATCAAAATCCCCACACAATTTTGGGTCAGCTGCTTCAATGACTTTCCCTTGTCCATAAAGCTCCCAAACCCACTCTACCATGTTGATTTTACTTGTTCCCAACTTGGGATCAATGGGTTTTCTCCCACAAGCTATCTCCAAAGCAACAACTCCAAAACTGTAAACATCTGTTTCCTTGCTAGCCTTTCCTGTGGTGACACATTCAGGAGCCATGTAGCCCATGGTTCCAGCCAGAACAGTGGTTTGTGATTGTTTCCCGTGGTCAACAAGTCGAGCCAACCCGAAATCTCCCAGTTTGGCGTTGAAATT